TATTAAATATAAACTAATATATGAATTACCTAAAAAGACATAATACAAAAATATCTGTAAACACAAAATCATATGAAATTATTTATACACAGTACAAAATAAAAATAAAATAAAATAGTATAAGTAAATTATACGTTAATACGACGCATCATCTTCAGATTAGGTGGCGTCACAATATTTTGGAACTTCGATTATTAAAATGCAGGGAAAAAAACAACTATATTGGGTGGCGAAGGAAAATAAAAACGTTATTTAAATATTAACCGAAAATTCGCCGAAAAAATATTACCGGAAAAATGAAGAAAATTGAGAGGATGAAAGGATGAGAAGTTGATGTGTGATTGAAACGGGGTTGAATATATGGTTTTTTATAGACATTCAAATTAGGGTTGTCATCAAATTCGTCATTAATGCCGACGTTAATTGATCGTAATTGACGTCTTTAATATTTGGTAACTTTCAATCATAAACGTCAGAATTAATTTTACTCATAATAAATTTAATTATGTTTAATAAAATTTTATTATTTAAAAATATATGTGTTAATTACAAATATAATTATAATTAACTGCATGTTTAAAATAATTTTTTTAAATTAGTTATAAAATTAATAAAAATTTAAAAATTTAAAAATTATTTATTATGAATATAATTAAAATTAATTATATATTTCGATTAGAATATTACATTAGTTTTAAATTTATTAAAAAAATTTCCAAAATTTTAGAAATAATACTAATTCATTTTTAATATCATTAATTAGTATTATAATTATCATTAATATTATTATTATTATTATTAAGTATATTGTTATGGTATATTAATCATGAATATTTAATTTCTTTTTATTAAAAAATTAATAATGAGGAAAAAAAATGGTAGGAGTTAGATTTTATATATATATATAGATAAATAGGTAAAAATAATTAAAATAAATGAGTACTTCAAATACTATGAAATAAAATCAATTTTTTAATTTTAAAATGAAAGAAGTATTATATATATATTATATTATATTATCAAATTATATATATTGATTGTGATCATTATAAATTTGCTATGTATATTATTATAGTATATATATTATGAATATTTAATATAAATTTATTTTTTAAAAAATAAAAATAGAAAGAAACAATAAATTGATATGAGATCCATTTTTCATACATATAATTAAAATATATTTTCAAATTATCATGATTAATTATAATTTTATAAATTATATCAATTATAACTGTATCAATTAACATAATTATTTAATATCAATTATAATGAAAATTTTGAAAAATTTCATTATCCATTATTTACGGGTATAAATAAAAATTAAGAAAATATTAAATTAATTTTAATTTTTTTTAAGAATTAAAAAATAAAGAAAAACTATAGAATTATGAAACCTATTTGCATTTTTATATATATTAAGATTACAAAATATAATTAATGATAGTTTTAATTTTATTGATTATTAATATAATTATTTTAATTATAAAAATAAATAAAATTACACTCCAAAGTTATTACATTTTCAATAGTTTTAATTAGGATTATAAATAGATAAATTATAATTTACTTTAATCATAAAATTAAATCAATTATTTTATTATATTTACAAATGTATTAATTATAATTTTATTAATTATGATATACTTAATGACATTTAATACATATTTATTTTATTAAACAATAAAAAATAATAAATAAAATAAAAAAATTTGATAAAAAAGATTTGGTGGAGTGAACCCCACACGATCTGTTTTATATATATATATATATATAGATAAGATAAGATAAGATAAGATAAATATTATTTTTAATTTTTTTTAGTGTGTCAATTGACCTCCAATACCTAATACTCACTACCAAAAAAAAGGTCTTTTTGTAACGATCAAATATTCGTAACTAAACCCCATTTTTCGTGCAAAATAGTTTTTTATATCGACTTTGTTACGGATTATGACCGCTACGAAAAATCGCGGTACAAAAAGTTCGTGTTGCAACAAAATCCGTAACAAATATTAGGTGGTCAACTCTCAAAATAAGCACATGTTAATTATATTTGTTACGTTTTTTTGGTATGTAACAAAAACATCAATCATGTTTTTGAATCGACAAATATCCAACATAAATCCTGCGAAACAAAAGTTGAATACTGTCAGAAAAATATTTGTTACGACATATGTCCGAATCAACAAATGCGTTACAAATGTCTAATATTGTCAGAAAAGTTCTTGTTACAATATTTGTCCGTAATAACAATACATTACGAAAGGACTGCCCCCTAACAAATAAGTTGTTTGTTACGAAAATACTCCGTAACAAAAAGTCATGACAAAAGTCAGGCAACCATTCATTACCATTTGTACCGGCCACTGTCCGTAACTAAAATTATGCTACAAAAGACGTCCCTGTGTGGCATAGTAGTTTTGTCACCATAAATAAATTTCATTTGTCTGTATTATTAATGTGCGAGACAAATAATTTAAAACTTAATCTTATCATAATTGTTTCTAAATCCGTCAAAATGCTACACGTGGTCATCAATACAACGATGTTCATAGTCCAGCCAAAAATAAAATATTAGTCGTCAACAGTGCTAACAAAACATCGCAACAAAACACCAATCCGTACACCAACATAACAACCTACTAAATAACGATACGCAAAATCATGGAGGCTGCAATCACGGGCGGCGAACCAACTGCAATGTGTTTTTAATAATATATAAGCATTTATTACAGAAATTGAAGTAATTTAATTTCCAAAAGAATAAAGTAAATAAAAAATTGCGTACATCCTGGTAAATCCACTCGATATTATTTTTGTCGAGTACATCACCGAGAATTTTCGTTCCAGCATTAGTTGAGAGGATTAGTGCGGTCTCCGGGACCATTACAGCTGTAACATACACCTTCACAATGGCTAGGGTATCACCTATATAAATAGGTTAAACGAGCGGTAGTTACGAGGATGAATATAATAAAATAGAACTTACGTTTTAGCTTGATCTAGGGACCCTAACTTAAATACAAGTATAATAACAAATAAACTCGAAAAGCACTAATAAAATAGACTGACCCCTGAACATATGAAAATAAATAACACAACATGGACCATAGGGGCCAACTCCCCTTACACATACACTAATAATAATAAATCACCATGATCATAGATGGGCAATCCTTCAGTAAAAAAAAAACGAACACAGCTCTCCAATAGCAATCAAGTAACCACCAATCAAGCCCTACAAATAACGTTCAACCATACAACTACCTTAAACCCAAATAGACATGCCCTATAACAATATAACTAGATGCTAGATATAACAATCTTACATAGGATCCATTTTATGTCCATTTCACGCTGTACAACTTCACAATCAAAAGGCAACTTATCAAGTGCAAACGAACCTGGTGTAGGGAGGCTTAGCATCACTCATTCACCAACCACACGTTTCTCTAGTCCTCGAGAGAGCAAACAAACACATGTCCCAATCTACACCAGAACATTTCTTACTATTATCAACATTCCTTTGTGTTAAGAGCATGAAACAAATTAAAATTTACCTTAAAACCAATATACAACATTATTGTAGACATCAATCATATTAATAACACAAACCGTCATCAATTCAAGTGAACTAGTGCCAGCTGACTCGCCCCTCCTTCCAGCCAACCGGATAGTTCCCTTCATAATAGACATTGGATTCAGATCAACTAGTAGAGTCGATATTTTCCCCCCACGTTACATATAGAGTTTAGCATACTTACCGGGGCTTCTGGAGATGGTCCAATGGAAGGAGGTGTCCACGAAGAAATTTCTGCCTTGTACATAGTCACTTCATCTCTAATAGCTTTAATTTCAGACAAGACCGCCTTCATCTCAGCAATACCATTGCGAAATTCCTCCATTTGTGATTGCATGGCTTCATTGTCGACATGGCTGGCAGATTAAGTCTTGGTTTGGGCAGAGGTTGCTGCGACATCAACCGCCGTTCGCCGTTTTCTTTTCCCTGCAAGCGCTCGTCGGTATAAAGATTCACGGACGACTGGTATTCTCTGATCTGTTGGGATTTTGTTGAGTTTAGAATTGAGATATTCATGCATAATACAATGAGTTTGAAGACAAATGTAATAACATTACATGAGGGTGAAAACACAAAAAACTGTGTTGCTCTTAACAAATAAGTGTTGTTACCAAAATATCATCAGTCTCTTCATTATCCGCGTGTTGTCCCTTGGTGCGGGATGCCATCCATATTTCCAGGCTATCGGGTTCTTTGCCTTTGGCCTTTATCTGCAAGCATTTATCTCGGCCTTACTAAAAGTGGTCATCCAAAGAAAAAAAGAGAAGCAACAACATATACATGCAATAAGATTTGTAATGATAAACTGGAAAATAGAGTAGAGACAGACTTCCTTAGCCAAGACGTCAAATGATTTTCTGCCCGTTCTATGTGGAAAACTTCTTTTCACTGCATTGGCAGCATTTCTGCTAGCAATATCCTACAAACACCATATACGTAAGCACTTGATTGGTCCGGTGACAAGCCCTAAGAAAAAGTGCACTTTGTCGGGCACATACGTTTACTTTATTGTCCTTCCAATACTGCACTAGCAATGGCCACTGTTCTGCAACAATAAGCTCTTTCGGAGCTATCTTCAGGGCCTCTTCATCATCCTCTATTGGTGTGAAATGTGATGTCTTCACATTGTATTTCCAGTGGCGCTAGGCGTCTTTAAGGTCAGAGAGCACTAATTTCTCATCATAATCAGGTAGACCGCAGTTTTTCTAAAACAAATTGGCACCGTCAAATATTTAAAATCCACTTAAGACTCGAAGATATTGGAGTGATGCAAATTTACGTGCAGCGAATATAACTTTCATTGTCCATAACATACCTGTACCTCAGCCAAGATCTCCTTTTTGGTTGTCTCTGGGATCTGCTGAAATGTCGGATAGTGGAGAGGAAGACGTAGTCCGTTTCTCGCAATCACCCCGAGAGCACTCTTATATCCATGAACTTCAGTACATATTATCCGCTTGCCATCATCGGACACAAACACCTGAAGGAATTTGTCACCAACCCAACCACGGGGCATCTTTGCGGCACCTCTTCCAGTTTTCTTTTTCGAAAGAGGGCCTACAAAAAGTGCGTGACGGCCGAAACAGTTGTATGTAGTTATATATTTATATGAGAATACCTCTATAAACAAAGCAACACAACATATGAACAAGTTGTACCATCATCCTGCATTGCTATATCCTCTTCGCGAATGTCATTGCCCAATGTCTCCTGGAGTTCCTCAGCCTCTGCTTCATGTGCTCCACCTTCGTCATCGAGATTGCAATTAGTCGGGACCTGATCTTAAGTCGGACCAATAGTTTCATCATCTTCTGAGTCATCCCCATCCAGCTGTGACAATAAAGTTAACAATTTAAATAATAGTACTTTAAAAAATTGAAAAGAGAACAAGAGTGCACCTCTTCCTCCTCTGGCGCTTGTGATTCCTGAAGAAGACTCCGTCGGACTGTGGATGGAGCTGCAACTGATGGCGACCTGAAATCATGCTCTTTCTCCCACTCTCCAGTAATCCTACGTAATCGGTCCAGAAGAGGTGATACGTGTGCCCCTGGCAGCTTACTCGTATTCTTCTTGGTTGAAACCACTGTTGGCGAAGAAGGTTAACTTGGGACAGCCTTCGCCGAGGGTGATGGAGTGGCACGTGCAAGTGACCGAGTGACACGGCGCAACGGTGAGTTGACAAGATCCTGAGATGCATTTTCTTTTCCTCGAGTGGTTTTTGCCATTACCTGAAGTCAAAGATGGTATATACATTTATAAGCAACGAATGTCCGTACAAGTGAGTCTATAATGCGTAATTAAAATGGAAACATAAAAAAAAACACATAAAGCATGTATATGGAGGAACATCCATTATAACGACCTTGTAGTGGCAATAAAAATGATTGAAAATATAACAACATAACCAAATAATATGAATGTACCTGAAGTTTGGTTTAGGATATTGGAGTATCCTACATCTACTACGTAGTTATTGCTTCCCAACTCTATAATTCAGCCAAAAACTCCAAAAATGTGGGAGGGTTTCCAAAAAGTCGTCAAAAACAAAAAGGACTACACTCTATTATAAAGAAGCGCAGTCGGATTCTTCGGAAGAATCCTCTTCAAGGTAGGCTAGTGCCTGCATTCATATTGGCTTCACCTTCCATTACTACCCCCTCTACATCCTCCCTCAACCAATAATCAACTGCTCCTCTGGATATGCAACCATCGTCAAGGTTAAACCTTGTCCTGAAATTATCATCTATGGTCGTGTAAACATCATAGGTATCTCTCATAGACATTGGAACAACAATACTCTAGTTTTCATCTGTGGGATCAATGATGTATCAAACCTGTCTTGCTTGCGTAGCTAAGATAAATGGTTCATTTGTTAGGAGATTTGTTGTGTACATCAAGTGTTGAAAGTTCACCATCTTGTACTTGTACTCATCATCCTTAACACCCTTCTCTGGGTCAGCCCAATCGCATTTAAATAGAAGGAAGCGGATTTCATTATTGTACTCCACCTCTATAATGTCAGTTACTAACCCGTAATATGCGACCGAACCTGCCCGAGGATTTAGGTCTCTTGCACTTGCATAGCTAATCGTCTATGCATTGACCATCACACCAGCACACTGAGTCTTTTTTCCTTCGTCCCTTGATTTAACTCAAAATCGGATTCCAGAGACGATGCAAGACGTGAATCTTGTTGCATGCGTGTAAGGTCCTTGTGTTAGTGTCTTCATATGCACAGTGATTGTGCCATCGACATTGTGGGTAGGATCCTCTACCTACAGACAAGTTAAGTATATTTACTTTCGCTGTAAATTTGTTACTGATTGTACCCCTAACTCTAAATTGTGATATTTGTGTACCTACATAGGTTTGAAACCACCCTGGAAATTGTTTGATGTGAATCTGCTGCACTTCTCGGGGGCTTGCATTGGGTCGCATTCTTTTAATACTTTCAAGATGCACACTGCGGATGAAAGAAGGGGAGTCCCCAAGGAGTTTAGACATGGTGACCCATAATAAGATAAAATATCCCTTATTGAAGATACATACCTTCTGAGTGGACCAATAACTTTCACATTGCCTAATATGTATCCGTGTATTTGTTGCAAAGTGATGAAATCGAGGTTACACCGGGACCCAAAAGACCACGCCCCCTTATTGATCCAAGATCGTCATTTCGCACACCACGATTCTCTTTAGTCTCTAAATCTCCAAGATATCTCGAACAGAATGTCATACACTCTTCCACGAGGTATCCACGAGCGATTGAACCCTCCGGATTCGCACGGTCTCGTACATATCTCTTGAGAGTACCTAAATACCTTTCGATTGGATACATCCACCTATACTGAACAGGTCCTCCAAGCATCGCCTCCTCTGGTAAGTGAATCGGAAGATGTTCCATGACATCAAAAAAAGAATGTGGGAAAAGTTTCTCTAAGTGACATAGCGTAAGAGCAATTCTATCTTGTACCTTCTCAAGATCCCGTACTGTGTTTGTTGAACACATTAAGTTGAAGAAGGTGCAAAGTTCCATCAACACAACGACAACGTCTTTGGACAAAACCCTACAAGAATAGAGAAAATCACCTCTCACAAAGTCATACAACTATAGTGCCAATAGTACAAAACAATGGGTTGGGTAGTGCATAACATACCGTTTAGCTGCAACACCAAGGATTCGCTGCATTAGAATGTGGCAATCATGGCTATTCAACCCCCATATTGTTTGTTGTTCTATTCTGACCCAACGAGTTAAATTAGAACTAAAACCATCTGGGGTCTCAAATTTTTCAAAACTGATAGGAATGTTTTTTTTTTTTTTTCAGAACACGACACGGTGTACGCGGCTGCCGGTAAGTAAACCCTACCATTGGGCTTGGAAATTGGATGCAAAGAACTCCGTATATTCATCAATTGCAAGTCCTTCCTCGTACTAAGGTTGCCCTTTGTTTTCCCCTTAGTGCCTAACAATGTATGCAAGATATTTTCACAAACATTCTTTTCAATGTGCATCAAGTCCAGATTATGTCGTATATCATGATCAGCCCAATATGGTAATTCAAAAAAAATGTTTCTTTTTCTTCCATATAGATGCTTGTCTTTGTTCTCCCCGACGCCGTTTTCTAGATTGTTGTGCCGCTTGTTGTGTAACCAAATCCTCCTTACGGTAGATAGTAGGAACATCCCTCAACTGATCATGTAACTCGGCAACGGTTATACGTGTGATGCGGGCCTCAAAGTTTATCGTTCCATCAAAGGAATGCTGATCACGTCGCATCCTGTGCCCATCGGGTAGGAAACGCCTATGGCCACAGTAGCAAAATTTGTGCCCATTCTTCAAATATGTAGAGTGCGTCCGTACACCACAATTTGGACATGCATTTCCCCCGCGTGTTGGCCATCCAGATAACATAGCATAAGCTGGAAAATCACTAATGGTCCATAGTAAGGCAACACGTATTTGGAAGTACTCTTGACTTACTGCGTCAAATGTTCTCACGCCAATGTCCTACAATTCCTTCAACTCAGCCACAAGAGGCTGCAGAAACACATCGATCCGATCGCCCGGTCCTTTAGGACCGTCTATTATTGTAGAAAAGAGGAATGATGGTTGTTTCATACATAACCATGGGGGTAAATTATAGATCACAAGCACCACTGGCCAAATGCTATAATTAACACTCATGTTACCGAAAGGATTGAAGCCATCGGACGCCAACCCCCAATCGTACATTTCGAATGTCATCAGAAAATAATGGATTTCGAAGATCAAACATTTTCCATGCCAAACTATCAGCCGGGTGCCGCAAAACACCATTGTCAACATGAGATTCAGCCTACCACCGCATTGACGCTGCTGTTTTGGAGGACAAGAACATTCACTGTAAACGGGGAATTAATGGAAAATACCTCATCTTTTTTACAGACACGGTGGAGCTCCCTTCGACAAACCTCCTTTCACCGCATACAACACATGCCTGAAGATCTGCATCCTCTCCGGTGAACAACATACAATTGTTCATGCATACGTCCACAGTCTTACAAGTAAATTCCAACTCTTTTGTTATTTTGTTTGCCTCGTAGTAAGTCTTCGGCAACGCCACATCATCGAGTAGAGCATCCCTCAACAAGGTTAGCAGAAGGTCAAATGATTTATTTGACCATTGACACAAAACCTTCAAATGCATAAGGCATGCGATAAATGATAACCTACTCAATTTCTTAGACCCCGGTATTAGGTCCTTTTGCAGATCTTCTAACATGTCTTTCAATCCCTTCTTACCGCTCTCTAACCCATCTTCAGGATCCACGTCATTTATGTTTGCATGATTGTTCTCCGGGTTTACGTCGTGTGAGAAAACACACTCGCATAGAAGCAGGTCTAGTTCATCTTCTCGATGCGAAGTCATCGCATCTTCAACCAAGTTACCGGTGGTCGTCTCACTCCCCGCTTCCCCATGCCAAGTCCACACCTTGTAAGAGGTGTCAAACCCGTACCTGATACAATGGAGCAAGATCTCCCTACTACTATAACTTGCACGATTACCACAAATCTCACAGGGGCAGTGTACAACTGATTCTAGTGTTTTTCTGTTGAAAGCATAGCTTAAGAATTGGATCACTCCGTCAAAGTATCTATTGAAAGTGTAGTCGGATTCTTCTATCCAAGTCCTATCCATCTAATAAACAATTTTGGAAATAATCCAATCAACCAGCCACCAACGTAGTTACGGGGTAATGACAACACATTATATGCTAGTTATGTATGTATTGCATGTGCGACAATAATTTGACTTATCTGTTTCAACTTTCAACTATATGTGGATATGAAGATGGCTATCCTTGTAAGAAAACTTGCATGTTCCTTAAACAATTCATAACTCATCAATATGTTCTACAATAAAACAACCGGTAATGTAATACAATGTATAATGTGTGATGTATCAGCAAGAAAATAAGAAATATAGGCACTTCCGGGTTACGCCCCAAAAATATATACAACTGCAACAAACAAAAAAACACCACCCTTGCATTAGACATGAGAAAAACACCGTTATGAAACAAGTGTTATTTAGTTGTTATGAACTAACTAATGAAATAAGACAAAACGGATCAAAAGAAGACACTAGATGAAAATAAAGAACCAAAAATAAGACATATGCCTCAAATGTGGCCTAATTTAAAGTATAAAAAGATAACAGCCCCTTAAAACCAAAAATGATAGTAGAATCATGTTTGTTTGATCTCTCCAAAAGGAAACTTATCTCCAAACCCATATATCCTATAAGCTCTAAGCATAGTGATGTACCACTATAATTCTCATATTGTTATGAAGTTCAATTAACACTTTTGAAGGCCATAAAATAAAATAGGAGGAATGAATAACATACATAAGTTATTTGGCGGAAGCAGACACAGGTACGAGTACAGTCCTCTACCCGTAGGTGATCTCCAAAGATAATATCGACCCCCTAAGCACCTTCACGCACAAAATTTTCTGCCACTGGACACCATTCCTATTGGAGAATCAGAAATACAGTGTGAATTCATAAGCAAGTATATATCTACTACTTGCAGTAATCACATAAGCTCAGAAGCAGAGGGCAAATCAATTGTAAAAAATAAAAGTCAAACCAAATTTCAGAACCTCCAAAATAATGGCAATGAAAGTTACAACACACTTTTATTTAATTTCTTATCTTCGGAATTGATAAAATCATAGTTTTCCTTTATCACACTAATAAAGAAAGACACATTTTTATCATGAGGATGCTGGTTGAACCGCAGGTTGATTTTGATTCTGATTTTTAAAACCCTTAGAAACATTGTTTTGAGCACTGTTTTTGTGCTGATAAGCTGAACTGACAGAACCATATTTGACTAAAAGCTTAATACTCTTGTCATATATAGATTTATTGGAGGGATCTGAAAGCTTTGAATTCGCTTCACAAATCAACTTAAAAGCACCCTCGGCTTCAGGAAATCGGTTCTTGTCGGGATGGAGACGGAGGCCCAACCGTCGATATTGTTTCTTGATCTTCGATTTATCAGCCAACTTCTCAACTTGAAGGATTCCATACAAATCCTTTTTAGATCCTGATCTACTTTGAGTTGAACACTGAACATCACAGATGCTTAGCAACTGGCTAATACTGTCAAGTCCTGGGTAAAGATTTTGCGCGTTCAAAACAAACTTTGGAGCAGCTTCAAACTCATTCTCTTCCATCTTGCGCTGAACAATTGACCTTGCCCATATGGCCTCATATTTGTTGCACTCCATTCTCTATATGAAGATCGGAAAATTTCAAAGAGACAAGTAATAATGAATTCCTCTCTTTGCTTAAATTAGATACCTCGGCAATAAAAGAACTGAAGTTCAAAAATCTTTTAGACTTATGATTGTTTGGAGCAGTGCAATGCCATCCACAGCCAAGAACGTGGCAGTCAATTGCATGCTAAATGCTATGATAATCAATTAATCATCACCACCGACTTCACCAACTTGAATATCAAGCTTGTAATTTCCCAATTGCAGCTCAAGTGTTTGAAAGGGGCAAACTCATAAAATGGTGTTGGGAGTAGATTGAGACAAAAAAAAGACACAACTTCTTAAACATATCTAAATAAGTTCTGCACTATGAACTAGCTAATACGATTTGTTTTATACAAATCCTGCTGATCCCCTCCAAAAATTCAAACATTACAGTAATTCCCTCCAAAAACTTAAGGAAGCCTTGATACCACTTCTTTTATACCCATTACATTTGTGTAATTACTAACGAAATAATTTCAACCATAAAGATATCCAAAAGCCACAAAATCGATTTTTACGCAGACAATGGAAAACCTAAGTTTTAAATCCAACAACCTACATTGCAAAAACTTAATTGAACAAATGAACATCAACTAGATGGGTATTACACTATATAAAAAATCCTCAAACACACAAATACGTTAGATTAACAAATCATTTTAACTCACCCATCGATTTTGCGCCCTAAAACGTAGCCCGAACGACCGCCTTTGAACCTAGGTGATGAAGGTCGCTAGCTTAAGGTGAATTTTGGGCTGCCTTCCACCAGCAACGGCGGCGCAAAGGTGGAGGCGACGGCGTAGCGAGGGTGGAGGCAACGGAGGCTCGAGTCTGAGGCTTCTCTGTAAATTCGTCCAGGGAGAGAAACACTTAGAATAATTTGATTTGATTTATTGTATATGTAAACGTTGTCATCAGAAGACATAAAAGCGCATTCACGCTTCTTCATTTTTAATTTTGCTTTAGGTAATAAGTTTTATATTGAATTTATTTTAATTTTAAAAAAAAAACTTCTCTTAATAATTTATTAAGTAATGAAAAGTTTGTATTTAATTATTTTTTAAATTATTTTTAGATTTAATTTTCAGAAATTTTTTAATTTATAATACTTACTTTTTTGGTTATGACCGTCCACGTAACAAATATATATAAGATAATTTTTTGTAACAAAAGTAAAAAAAGGTTGACCACAGCCCATTTTTTTTGTTTCAACATAAAAATCATAACATAAATCACTTTTTGTGACGCAATTATTGTTACGGAACATTAGCCCGTTACAAAAAGAATTTTTTTTTTTTTTTTTTTTTTTTTTTTTGTAGTGACTGCATACGCCCCTATTCTCAGCTATTGATGGCTTAACGATTCTGCATCAGCAAATCAAAATCCCAACTATACACAGGCTGTCCGATTGCATCTTTTTATAAGGTGGAATTTAAAATCGCTATTATTTGAGTGCCTATTGAATAATCTCTCCTTAGTATTTTAGAAACTATGTCATCCAAATAAGTAAGGCAAGTTTTGTATGATAGGTTCGACCAAAAAAAGTCGGCAGGTCGTTGCACTTTTTTATATTAGTTTGTGTGGTAGTTGCTGCCGTTTAAAAATTAATATATATTATCACATTTTTGTTTATATGAAACTGGAAAAGGCTGTCGGATGTTCTAATTCCATTTGGTTGACTTTATTGCACTGCAATATTGTCTCTTAGGAAAAAGAAAGAAAGGAGAAGATTATTGCAGGAAATTAATGGCGTATTATGCTGCTCTTGCCTCTCTTGTGAACTTACTCGAAGATATAATCCTTCATGATCAATATCCAAACTTTCTACTTGGAAAACAACCAATCATAAAATCACTTCTCGAAAAGTTCAGCCTTCTCGAAGCATCATTACAAGATTATTCATCCAAAGGGGACGAAGCCGGTGATTGCGTGGAAGCTCGCATAAAAGACGTGGCGTATCGAGCACAGGATGTTATTGAATCTGAGATCTCAAATCAGATTGATTTCAAACCAAATGCAATGGTAAAAATATTATTATACCCTCTGATTTCTGGTTGCCAAATTGTTTTGCAACGTCTAAGAGCAAAGAAATGCGAAGAAGAGCTGCGTGAGGTGGAGCGACAAGTTGATTCTATTGTGGAGGAGGTGAAGAAGGCTGTCATCGAGGGAAGGCGCCAGACAAGTGAAGATTTCCAGCTAAGTCGATATTCTACTAGTTCTGGTGTTGCCATACTACCGGCGGATCCGACTCCAGGAAATGAGGTTATCGAGGGATTCAATAAATATCTAACCACACTTAAAGATCAGCTCTGTCGACATTCATCCCAACTTCAAGTCATTCCTATTGTTGGAATGGGTGGAATAGGCAAGACCACTTTGGCGAGAGCTGCATTTGATGATCAGCTATCTGTGTATCACTTTGATCATCGTGCTTGGGTAGCCGTTTCTCAAGATTATTGTGTATGTGGGGTTCTTTGTAGCATCTTAAAATCGATGCATGTTAACTATGATGAGTTGTGCGAAAAGGACGAGGGGTTGTTAAAGGAGCGTATATACAAACATTTAATAGGTCACAGATACCTTGTTGTAATAGACGATGTCTGGAGTCCAAAACTTTGGGATGACATAAAGCATGCATTCCCAGAAACCTCCATTGGAAGTCGCATTTTGTTAACCACAAGGTTGCTGGATGTGGCCTATTATGTTTGCAGCTCCGATTTTCTACATGAGATGCAACTGTTAGATGTAAATGCAAGCTGGATTTTACTTCGGAGGAAGGTCTTTGGGGGAAAACGTTGCCCTCAAAATTTGAAAAAGATTGGGAAGCTTATAGCAAGTAAATGTCAAGGGCTTCCACTTGCAATTGTTATAATCGCAGGTGTCCTTGTAGATGTCCAAACACCGCAACATTGGGAAGAGGTTTCACGGAATGTGGGCTCTTTCTTGAGTAAATCCGGAGATGAACAATTTTCCAATATTCTATCTCTGAGCTACAATAACTTATCTCATTTGCTCAAAGCTTGCTTATTATACATTGGAAGTTTTCCGGAAGATTATGGTATCAATGTACGTAAGCTTACATGGTTGTGGATTGCGGAGGGGTTCTTGAAGTCGACTCAAAGATTCCAAACACTAGAACAAGTGGCTGAGGAATGCTTGGAGGATCTTGTCAGAAGAAACCTTATTATCATCACAATGAAAGGTGCTAATGGTAAATTCAAGAGATGTATGATGCACGATCTTTTGAGAGATTTCTGTCGACAAAGAGCTGTACATGAAGGTTTCTTTCATGGATTGGACATGGAAGAGTTTCTAAGTAGCCAGGTCAATAAATCTAAAGGTTTGCTTCCTCATTCCAAGCCAGGGGAGGTATATGGTTCTCGTAGACTCATCCGTACAATTCTATGGTTTGGAAGATCGAACATTGAGAATGCTCGTGCCTTGGAATGTCATAACTTCAGATTGTTGAAAACTGTGGATTTGTCCAATGCGAAGTTTTGTTGCGACCTACGGGTATTCTCGAGGATGTTTCATCTCAAGTACATCGCTCTGAAACCCGAGAGACATGAACTCCTTGGTTCGCATATTTTCAAGCTAAAGAATCTCCAAACCATGGTTATATATCAGCCTACTACTCCTACGTTCCTCTACTTCAAAATACCATCTGATATTTGGCAGATGGTCCGACTAAGGCATCTTATAATACCTATCAGGACGACGCTACCGGCTTTTCCAATGGATGGAGACCCGCCTCTCCGGATGCTAGAAAATCTGCAAACGCTCAAGACACTACAGAATTTCATATTCACCAAAAAGGCCGTAGAAATGATTCCCAACCTAAGAACATTGGAGATACACATCTATGGCGGATCCGATGGAATCTGGGAGAACTATTGCCTCCACAATCTAATACATCTGCGCCGACTTGAGAAGCTGAACATGGCATTCACGATTCCATCTTGTATTTCCATAGGAGATAGCTTTATCTTTCCACATAATCTTAAGAAGCTATCGTTGTCTGGCTGCCGACTCCATTGGATTGATATGAAAGCAGTCGGCTCGCTTCCCAATCTCCAAGTGCTCAGGCTACGAAAGGGTTCATTTGTGGGAGAAGAGTGGGAACCGATTGAAGGGCAGTTTCTGCAGCTCAAGTTCTTACTCATGGAGTTCTTAGAAATAAAGCAGTGGAGAGCAGAGAGCACACACTTCCCACGCCTTCAACGCCTCATAATCAACTGGTGTCGATATTTAGAGAAGATCCCAATGGAACTTGGGGAGATTCTGCCTCTCGAATTCATTTATGCTTATGGTAGCAGAAGGTCCCTAGGAGATTCCGTAAAGCTTATTCTAGAAGAACAACGAAGCCTGGGCAACGATGTGCTACGAGTGCTTGTTCGTGGATGTTTTTATTAGTGCTAGATTGTCAATCCCCTGCTTGCTCAGGAGCCAACGAAGGCTTAGTTCACGCAACTTGTTTACATAAATTGATTTTTAAAAGTGTTAAATATATTATTTTAAATTAAATAACTGATTTTTGACTTTTTAATAAGTATTTAATTTTTTTTGTTACTTTTTTACTATTATCAACAAAATAGTTGTGTTTGTTTATTAATTTTAGAATTCGTTGAGAATGGTGTTGAAATAAGGGACGCAAAATATCTAAAATTTTTTGATTTGAATAAAACCAAAATGAGTTCTGAAATGAATAAAATTAAAGGGTGTTTGTTTGTGGATTTTTATTATTATTTTTTATTTTTTAATAGTAAAAGATTGAATTTGCATAGTTAAAATTTATTTATATTATAATACTTTCTTCCTCTGTCAAATTTTTCACTTTCCTTTTTACTCCGTCCACTAAATTTATTCCATTACCGCAAAGTCAACAAATCAACATTTAATTATTACCCTCAATTCAATACTTATTTACAACAAATACCACTAACTTTATTACATTCTATCTTTTTAACTAAATTTCTAAAAATACCCTCAGCTACCTATCATTTTTTCAATAAAATATTCATTTTTTTTAATTTCCGTGCCGAGCTCAAATGGGCTAATTTTAATGGATGGAGAAAGTATAAAAAAAATAATTATTTAATTTAATTTTTTTTTAGAAAATAAAGAATCTTAATAGTAAAAATCTATTGTAAAATTCACAAAAAAATACAATAAAAAAGTTTAAATTTTTTATTTTTTATATTGTGAAAATTTGAATTATGTATATTAATATAGGACAAAGGTGTTTGAACCCGCGCATCGTTTGCTTTTGATCCTCACGAATATCGACTTGTACAAGAAGTTTTTCAAGCTCTTTATAGTACTCCTTCATTGACCGGGACCCTTGTTGTATACTCTCCAATTTCCGCAATACTTCACGATGGTAATGAGGGGGAACAAACCTCTTTCGCATGAGTGTACGGAGTTCTATCCAAGTACGCACTGGAGCCTCCCTATTTCTGCGGCGGTTGATGCTCAATTGGTCCCACCATGCGAGGGCATAATCTGAAAACTCCATTACGGCAATACGGAATTTTTGTTGGTCAGTTAATTGTTGAACATCAAAGATTAATTCTAACATTCGTTCCCATTGCAAAAATGCTTCAGGGTCGGATTTTCCTTAGAATAGTGGCACTTGAAACTTGATAGAGTTGATAGCCTCATCGTCATCCCGTCGGTTATGGTTATTATGATGCCTACCGTTCCTAGTTTCCTTCAAACTCCTCATCATCAGGTTCGTCAAAGTTGTGTGGGGTGGGGGCCGGATGTTGCATCTTGGCCTCAAATGCGGTTGAACATTATTTCGCCTCTGAGCTTCAGGAAACGGTCGGATATTTTCTTGTAACTTTTGTTGATTCTCTTGCAGTTGATCCATCCTATTATTCATCAATTCCAATCTAGAATGGTGAAAAGTTTTAAACGCTTGTAGAACGGTATTGAGAAGACCTTGTACATCAACTTGTGAGAATTGGATCCTTCACCCCCCTCCCATTAGAAAAAGAAGAAAGAAAAAAAGAAAATAACCTCACTAGAACTTTCGTGTATCACTCCACACCTTATGTACCTCTCCGTCTCGCAAAAAAGACTCAAATCAAATCGATGGAATTCTCCTAAAGACGATAGCAAAAAAATCCAAAACAGTAGAAAAAGCAAAAGAAATATAAGTTCAGAATGAAAGTAGAAGACAAATAATCTAAATAGAATTTTTTTTTCTTGATAAAAGAAAAGATGATTTGAGAACTTGAAGTAAATAACAAATATCTTGATATTTGATAATAATATTTTTTTTTTGTTTTTTTTGCCTCTTTTTTTTTGACATTTTGAATCGAATTTTACTTTTATAATTTTCTAGTGTTAGAGAGTGATTTCCTCACATTTAGAGTCTCAAATCAGGTCTTTGAAGTGATTCCATCAGTTCGTGGCTTCCAATACTGGCTTCCAATCCTTTATAGTGGGATTTAGCCTATTGTTTGTGTTTTATCCTATAGATTGATTCTCATCCATACTAATTCACATTCTCTACACTATCTTTTTTTTTATTCATATTCTTAATCTATTTGTTCTATTGAACTTTGTGGGTAAAAAAATTACATTGATTATAATTATACACGATCGGGCCGTGTCATATGGTATCAGAGCCTTGGGCTCAGGTTTTCTATCAACTTGAGTTGTCCTTAGTCGATTTTGTTAAAAGAAAAAAAGAAAAAAAAATCAATTTGTGGTATTTGTTAACTGTTTCGTTCTCTACAATATGTTTTTTGTCTACTTTGTTTTAGATTTTTCTAGCTATTGTCTTTGGAAAAATTGAGGGTTCTTGTGAGCCGTAGAGTCGATGAATATCGTGTTCGGGGGAACATGTGTACTTTTCAAGACAAAGGGGAATGATGCGGACGTCGAAGCTTAGAGAAAAAAAGATTATTGAAGATGGACTTGCTATAAATTATAATTATTTTTTATCCGACTCAAAGGTCATCCAGCTGAGTCATCTCAAGGCTAGGATAAGAAGAGTCGGGACTTCAAAACTAAGACAACAAATAATTATGGAAGAATCTCATAGTTACCTAATTATATATTACCTTTTATTATAATTTTTCATATAGTATAATTCCATATTTAGAACTTTCCTTATGATTTGTTTCCTTATAATTAGACTTACCTTTTTGTTTGTTTCCTTTATTATTTGTTACCTTTTATTTTTCCTCAAGGACCTCTATATAAGGTCACTGCCTATCATTATAATAGAGTAGAGTAGATCTTGAATAAAATTTCTTTATTGTTCTATCTCAATATTTGTCTAGTGCTAGGATGTGATTCCCTCCCACTTAAATATGTCAAATCGGGTCTTTGGAGTGATTCTATCGGTTCGTGGCTTCCAATCCTTTGCAGTGGAATTTAGCCTATTGTTTGTGTTTTAATCTATGGTTTGATTTCAGGTCAGAACTTATTCTCGTGGTTGGTTATCATCCATGTTAATTCACATTCTCTACACTATCATTTCTTCTTTCAAATCGGGTCTTTGGAGTGATTCCATTGGTTTGTGGCTTCCAATCCTTTGCAGTGGGATTTAGCCTATTGTTTGTGTTTTAACTATGGTTTTGATTTCAGGTCCGAGACTTATTTTCATGGTTGATTATCATTCATTTTAATTCATATTCTTTGCACTATTTTTTATTTTTTTATTTTTATTCTCTTTTCTAATATTTATACTATGAACCATTGGTTCTATTGAACATTATGGCTAAGGAAATTAGTATGGGCATAATTATACACGGTCAGGCCATATTATTATTTTTTTTTTTTCTACGCAAAATGTTCAATCAAGTATATTAAAAACATGTAAGACATTAGTCCAAGTTCAACACATAAAGTTTGACACGGCCCGACCTGACGAGGACGTCCAATCTTCAAGCATTCAAATGTCCGTGGGACCTATCACTCGAGGCTGAGCTCGTCAGTTTCAAAAATCCGTCACTGCATTGATCGGACGATTTTTCATTGAGAATCAATTTAAGGATGATGCTTGGAGACCACTTAGCCCTCACCTGACGCTTCTTCAATGAGACCCGCAAGAATCCCAATTGAAAGATCAAGAGAATCGTTAATTATGGAAGATTATCAAGGGAATCATCACATATTGAAAGAATCGCTAATCATGAAAGATTATCAAAGGAATCATCACTTATGGAGAGAATCGCTAATCATGGAAGATTATCAAGGGAATCATCATTTATGGAGAGAATTGTTAATCATGGAAGAATATCAAGGGAATCATCACTTATGGAGGCTTCTAAAAGTTACCTTAATATATATTTCATTTTATTATAAGTTTCCATATAGTATAATTCCATATCTAAAACTTTCCTAATTATTTATTTCTTTATAGTTAGACTAACATTTTGGTTTGTTTCATTTATTATTTGTTGCCTTTTATTTTCTTCAAGGACCTTTATATAAGGTCTTTGCCTATCATTGTAATGGGAACCTTTTTACATCTTGAATCGAATTTCACTTTTATAATTTTCTAGTGTTAGGGAGTGATTTCCTCGCATTTAGAATCTCAAATCGGGTCTTTGGAATGATTCTATCAGTTTGTGGCTTCCAATCCTTCGCAGTGGGATTTAGCTTATTGTTTGTGTTTTACCTATGGATTGATTTCAGGTTCGAGACTTATTCTCGTGGTTGGTTATCATCCATACTAATTCACATTCTTTTCACTATCTTTTCTTCTTCCTTCTCTTTTCTTTTATACATATTCTTAATCCTTTTGTTCTATTGAACTTTGTGGGTAAGAAAATTATATTGGTTATAATTATACACGGTCGGGCCGTGTCACGACCGCGTATAATTATGCCCATAATAATTTCCTTAGCCACAAAGTTCAATAGAGAAACAATGGTTTGGAATATAGGTGAAAGAAGGGATACTAAAGAAAAAAAGATAATGCAAAAAATGTGAATTAACATGGATGATAACCAACCACGAGAATAAGTCTCGGACCTGAAATCAAAACCATAGTTAAAAAATAAACAATAGGCTAAATCCCACTGCAAAAGGATTGGAAGCCACGAACCGATGGAATCACTCCGAAGACCCAATTTGAAAGAAGGGAGGATAAAGAAGAAAGGGTAGTGCAGAGAATGTGAATTAATATGGATGATAATCAACAATGAGAATAAGTCTTGGACCTGAAATCAAACCATAGATTAAAACACAAACAATAGGCTAAATCCCACTACAAATGATTGGAAGCCACGAACCGATGGAATCACTCCAAAGACCCGATTTGAAATATCTAAGTGGGAGAAAATCACATCCTAGCACTAGAAAAATACTGAGAGAGAACAATAAAGAAATTTTATTCAAGATTCACTCGGTTTTATTACAATGATAGGCAATGACCTTATATAGAGGTTCTT